CCAGACATAGACGATCTCGTTCCCTACAACTAGTAACTATCACCGAACAGTATACCAAAAGAGGGCGCACGCAAATCTTGAACATGTACCTCTTGGAATCACGCCATATCAGTTATTTGAAGAGTAACCGCGCTTTTTGGCTGGCTTTGGCTGCTATGAATTCGATCTGCTCCCCGAAATTGAGGATGCTTGAATAATACATACCCAACTCTTTTATTGTGTTGCGGCATGGAATTGGCTTTCCACAGAGATATAGGATGTTCATATCTATGTTGCATCGATATGCACTTATCCGCAGCGAGAGCTAAGAAATCACTCCGTGTCTTATTCAAACTTTGTTCCAGACTCCTAGGATTAAACGTGTTCTGTACATTAATATCATCTGCAAAAATGTAGGCTGTACCCTTTTAATACTTTTAGTTATGTCATCAATTACACCATAAATAACAGTGGATCAAGTATGCTCCCTTGGATCGCATCACTAGTAACCGGCAGCGATGATGACCTATGAATACTTATTTGCACTTGTTGAGTGCGATCAGTAAGATATGATCCAAACCAAACTTGCAAGAGGTCTATGATGTCATCTTGTGATATTTTCCATAGCAGGGAACGATGCGCACTGTATCGAATGCTTTTTGCATGTCAATGATAGCTGCATGTCTCCAATATCCACAGAACTCGTTAAAAAATTCAGGAATTCCAGCTGGCATGATCATTTCTGTACAAAGTCATGCTGAGTCTGGTTACTCAGGTTTTGTGAGAGCAACTGCCTTATTGCTTTCTCTTTGACCATTCACTCTAGTACTTTCGCAACACCAGATGTGTGACTTATCGAGCGGTAGTTTCTGAGGTCTGTTTTTGGGCCATTTTTGTGCCTCGTCGTGACTAGCGTGAGTTTCCATTGGATTGGAAAAATGCCCCACTGCATGGGCATGGTAAACAACTTTAAGAGTAAAAATGGTATGTCATAGTCACCGTATTTTTGCAAGGGATTTGGTAGACCGTCTGGACCAGGATAAGAGGATAATTGCAATCGGTCTATGTGGCGCTGAATATCTCTCCTGTTGAAAGTCACTGTGCTCAGTTTTACATTACTAATAGTTATGATGGACAAAGATACGTCACATAGAACAGTGAACGATGAGGTAAATGGATTATTTGGAGTATTTGTTATTATGTAGTTATCCGAAGTCAGTGATTTATCTGGTAGAGGAATGGCGGATGTTATTTGGATTTGTTTTTAGACTGCATTTCTCGTTTCTCTTCAGCTAGTAATCTCTGTGCACTTTTTAACTCAAGTTCAACAAGAAGCTTGTCTTGTCTTATTAATAAGGAAAAACCAAGCGTCCGTTTAATCTGAGTATATACTTTCTTTATTTACTTTAATACGCCCGGCGTTCTTAATGAAACATTTTTACTCGGTCATTGTTTGATCGACGCAAGGGCGTCTAGCATTTGTTGGAAGTTTGTGTACATTTCATTAGCCGCAGTCTGTGGTGCTTTAGTCAGGAAAAACAAATCGCAGTTGGTTATTCGCAGTTGAGACGATAATTTATCCCAATCTAAATTCTTAAATTCTTTGCGTGGCGCCACCATAGGCAAAGGATTTGGTTTCGAGATGATTACTGGTAATGCAAAACTAAGATGTACCACGGTATGATCAATACGTGGAAAGAGAGACAGCACCTTCACAATGGTGTCAAGTCCAATATATTATGACCTCTCGTTAGTTTTTTCACGGCTTGGGACCATCCCATTACCTAGAATCCTGTGATGAGATTTGTGAGTCTAGTTGGTGCAGACCACTTTTTCCAGGAGACATTTGGCATGTTAAAATCACCCCCGATTATTTTGGGAGCGAAAGTTAGATCTGAGGCATATACAAAAGCACAAAAGGGATAATTTAGTTGGAGAGTGTCTCACTGCGGAGGGATATAGACACCATCTACTAGGATATGGGTATTGTTCAACGCCCTGGAAACCCAGACGGATTCATTGACGTTGTTTAGCTGTGGGCCTTATTTTGAGTTGATAAATATCTGTTCTTGAGCATAGATGGTACACCCACCACCATTGCCCGTATGACGGCTACTCACGAAAGAGGTGTAGCACTCAACGTGGTAATATGTATGAGGTACTTGAGGGGATAATCCCCTTTCAGTTAATAGTATTATGTGGGGAATTGAGAGATAAATGAGGCGGCAAACGTTGTGCATCTTATTGTTCCGAGAACATGCATTAATTGGAATGATTATGATATTTCTCACCTCAAAAGGCAAGTTTAATAATAGTACTGTGGTAGCATTTGTTCATTACCAAAGGGAGTGGTAGTTGAGAAACGTTGAGGCCATTGTACATAAGTACTTGGACTAGGTTGTGATACTGCCTGATATGGCGGTGGATATCTGGGTATATCAGACTGGGACGTGAGGGCAGAGGAGCCCATTTCCAATGCTGGCCAAAAAATGCGCCGGTAGGACTTTTACCGATTTTTGCACTTCCAAGTTTTGCTCGGGAATCCATGGATTAGTTATGGTTTGACAGTTTTCCAGAACTTGTGGCCTAGACATATAGCTTCTTTTTGGTGATCTAAGGGCTATTTCGCTGAATGGGGTGAGCTGTCGCAGTTGTCTGCATTGGGAATTCAGCATCTTGACGTCAGATGCATCTGGTAGGTTAAAGAGCACAGGATTGGAGCAATCCATAGAACATGGTTTAAGCCTTATCCCTGAGACTACTGCCTTTTCATAGACAGATGACTGTTCAGTGTATCAATGATGTTTACCATTTCGTAAGACGAACAAATATTTAAACTCACGACTTTTCCAGGTCGAGTGTTAATCCGGGGAAGTATTTCTAGTCCTTAGGCAGGTTTAATACAAGTTAGCGATGGAGTACGGCAATTTGTTCTCGCGTGTAAAATTTCCTTCCTAATCGGCGTTGTGGTTAAGTCATTTGACTTTGGGGTATATCTAGGTACATTTTCGTTCACAGTTATATCCACAGATGGGGCAACAATGTTGAAGGCAACCTCTACTGTGCGGTCTCTTGCAGATTCAACGTGGGCGTCTAGATCAACTTCAGTGCCACAGATGTCACTTTAAATAGGTGTTGTCAAAGGTGGTTCTCTAGACTTTGAGGCTAAATTGACTAGTGTGGCAACGCCTTTAGCTCCCATTTCTTTTTCAAGTGGGGTACGATCTGCTCTATTCAACACTTAAACTCGGTTGTCGTTATAATCATTAACCGCTTGTCAATGAAGAATTTTGAAACATCCACGGCGGTGAATTTTAGAACTACAGGATAATCGTGTTTTGTGACTTTTGTGAACGCCCATATGGCAATGCATTCTCACTCGCGGATGGAAGCAAATGATAAAAGAATTCGCTTAAGTTTCTCAATTGGGTCAGGTGTATTAACTATCCCGACATTCCTCGGACGACTAGTCCTTTCATGGGCCTCAGTTGTTATGGTGGTTAAAACTTTGCAGACCTTTCAAGTTTTTCAGTACATTGGGATTTTGATGTTTCCAGTATGTGACTTAATGGTGTAAATAGCTTTACTGTGGGTTCGACTATACTCATCTGACTTTCAAGCTCTTTCAACTTCACTTCCATGTATTGTATTTTGTTATACTGTTCAGTTACACGACCAGCCACTTGTGTTTCTGAGGCTTTAGGGATTTTTCTGATTGCTGGTTTAGAAGCAGTAGTAACTTCCGGTTTGTTCCTCAGCTGGGTTCCCCTTGTAAAAACAGTAGCCTTGGGAGTCATTCTTGACACGCCAATCAATGCAAACTTGTGTAGACTATTTGTCGGACTTATAATCTATTCGATAATAACAGAGAGGTGAAAAGTAATTCGCAATGAACTACTCGGACGAAGGGTCAATGTTAATACCGGACAGCGGCTTTGCACGACCGTATCATCGACTGAGGATGTTCTGAACTGATTTCGTATTTTGAATACTTTCAGCTAACTACAATCGCTAGAACTTAAGGTTTGTGTACCTTGGTGTTTTCTCAGCTCAAATTCGACTACTGCTATTGAATGACCGCGTAGTCGCATCACTGTTGTGAACAATGCTGATGCCACCGCAGCTACTGTTCCACACTGGCCAACTGGTCAACAAACACTACCATGGTCCGCCCATCACCAACAATTTTCACGCGATCTCGTATCTGGTAATTGGAACGGGACCATCATAATTTCACGCTTACAGTACGGTCGGATCAATCATTTCGAAGCTCGTTTGGCATTCTATACACGTTGGTTTCAGGCGCTCCTTTGACTCTCATGCAGTTTGATTGTTGTTGTTGTTGTTGTTGTTGTTGTTGTTGTTTGTGTGCAGGTGCACTACGCTTCACTGTCAACAAACACTCCGCCCCTGTGGCACTGAGATCCTCTCAACTTTGTCAGTGCCGAATACAAATCCTAGCTCTAACCAGCTCGGGATCGCCACACATCTTGCTTGTGTCTGATTATGTAGGACAAGAAAATTGAATTTTAACTCATTCTGATACCAGTGTGCCTACTCTGATCGATCCATGCATACAGCGTCAATATTATGTGAATCGTTTTCGTTTTGCTTTACATTCTGTGCCTTATCCAACTTACGGAACCCACGACCTGGTCAGGCGTCCATAGTCTATTCGTTGTCTGTTTCATTCGCCTCGTCACACCGAGTTTGTCCGTTTTGCGAGTAACTTTCAACATCCTTTAGTCCCCGTTCTGTCTCGTATTGTTCACTCTGCATCGCTAGTCTAGTGCTTTACCCTATGAATGGTCTGCCGCAGTGCATCATGTCTGACTGAATAACGTCCATACATTGATTCGAACTTTAAGGTATCCGAGGTTTGTTGACTGCTTGACGCCCTAGACACACTCCGTTTCTACTCCATCTTTGTGTCCTATGCCCACAATAATCGCTGACTCTTGAATTCCCATTTTATCCACTTTTTAAACATTTCTCTCACATTCTTTCTATTTAATCGCCAGCTCTGTTTACCACAAAGGTTGGTTCATCGCTTCATGCATTCCGGACTGTTCGACTTACTTGAGGCTCTGCAGAAACGAGCGAAGTCTCTGTGTCCACTCACCCCACCGGAGAACCCTGACCAATTGTTTTCGTTTCCCTCTGTCCTTTGAATCTCCCCGCATTCGATCTTTCTAAGCCTTTTACTTGATTTAAATTTTCAAGTTGAAATCGCGATGGGAGCTCCCCACAACAGATCACCCCACTTCCCTCATCCGAGGAGTTCCACGACTACACTGGCACTGTACACTGCAACTGTTTTTGTACCTTTTTCCTTGTCTCATCCGTACGCTGTACCTTTCGTTTGCCCCGATGATGTGTACAGCGATGCGTTGAACCTTGTTGTCTTTACTTCATGTCAACACCACATTATCCTCACCTCTCATCTGCTTCTTCGTCCCTTTCGTTGAAGGAGTTCACATTCATCATATTTCTTTCCCTCCACTGGCGACCTTGGAAACCGGATGTCTTCTTATCCGTTGCTTATACACAAAAACATAGATTTTCGATCTTTCACTTGTACAGCTTTCTAGGCTTACCACATGCTTTCCAAAATGATTGGGGTATCAATTCCCTGGGTACTTTGCACTGTCTCTTGTTCCGTTAAAATTACTTTCCTTCTTGATAATTTTCACTCCGGTGTAGTGTAACCCTCCTTAGACGACCCTGCGGAGTCAGCCCTCCGACCGGCTCCCCATATCGGCACCGTGCTTTGCATGGACGCCTGATTAACATGCACGTGCCCGTGTCAGATCACCCGGTCCCAGGAAATTCCACCTCCAGGCCTCCAAGTAGCCGGATTACAGGCGCACGCCACCACGCCCAGCGCTTGGTTCCCAATTACAGCGTGCTTGTGTTTGCCTGTGAAGGAGTGTGGCCCGGCTCCGTTGATGAAACCTGGCTCCCATCCACATGCCTCCCGATCTTATTCCTTCGGGTTTGCACTGGATATGGGGTGTGTGGGTGGTACAGCGCAAGCCACCCATGGTCCCTCTGTAGGCGCAGGCGTCCTGCGGCTGACCACAGTGACACGTAAATCCGAAACCGGATGCCGCCAACCATAGTATATCCCTCCAAGAGTCAAAACGACGTCCGGAAATCGATCAACACCCGTTACTCGTAGAGCGGAGCATCATTTATACCACATAAAAATTGCGGGTGCTATTTATTTGCGACAAATTTTTGAGTTAGTGTGCGCGCTGTTCCATTCATCCTCTGATTTGCCTTCTACTAGCTTCTACAAAACTGCCATCCACCCTGAACGGATGATGTCACCTTGAATAGTGAAACGTATATACTCAAGTAGGCAAGTTCAGCGAAAACCGCAACGCTGAAAATCTTCCGAACTACCTGTGGTCTATGGAACACCATCTCCAATCGGGGTTCCCTCCCAATACTGTCTGTGCGCGTGTGTCTGTCTGTCTATTACCCACTCAGTTGCTTGATGGATACACGTTCTTGCCAGAAGACACGTTGGGTACTGCCAGCTGGGTGTGTACTGTTGTCCTTGTCTCCTTCGACTACGAGTCATTACTGCGTTCGCAGGCTTGCGTTAGTTCCGCACGGTTAAACTTTAACATTGAGGATTATTCGTTATAATTCACTATATTCCACCTGATCCGTTTTGGAAAGAAGCGGCTCCCAACTCATTTGCTTCAGATTAGACTCTGTGGAAGAGAACATTCTGTGACTATCTTCAGAATTACACATCCTCACATCACTATTACTGGGAATCAATCTGTTGAACTGTTTAGACAATACCTAGGTTCAGAGGCATTTCGACGCACTACAGTTATGTGAAAACACTTCTATGTCACTGTCTAAAATATCTGGATGGTCTTTGGGACTTACAGTAACATCTTTTACTGCACGACTGAATTTTTCCCAACTGCAGCTGCGATATGTCAACGGATTTATAGAACGCATACAACGGTCCTTACCCGATCATCGTTATAATTTGATTCCGCCCTTAAAATTACGGAAGCTCTTGGCATTCGCAGTAACAAGGTCCGTGACCGCTTACTGTCGGGAGCAAGATTACTTGGGAAGCCGCATGTACCTTGGTGTGGCAAAGAGGAAGTGTGGTTCAACGGTTAATTCACTACCAACATGCTCACCTTTCAGATGTAATCCACGAGGTAAAACCTCGATTGTCACCCAACAACAAACGCACCTTAATATGTCACAGGTGTGGAAAAGACATGTAAGAGTGACTGATTGTAGACATAAACAGTACACTTGCCACAAGTGCAGCAAGATAGGACATCTTACGCGTGTTTGCCGCTCAGCAGTATTTCAAGTAATTTCGAACGAGCTGTTCATCAGGTCCAATCCACAGCCACTTTTAACCTGAATCTCCCTCGGCCGTGCCACTTCTCAACTAGCCACCTGGTTTTCGCGCGGGTGGCACCTCTTCACTTATTGCCCTTCACTTCCGTTTGTTCCGGGGACCGGCTTCCATCGCATCCCATGTCGTTAAGGTACGATCGTTGACACTCACTCCCCGTTCGCACACTGATATTCGAGACATTTCGTCCCGTCTTTATCATGATTGGTTCAATCTAATCTATGTCAGTTTCAGTTTGGCTCGTACAATCTTAATCAGCTCGCATCAGCGACGATTGATTGGCCTCCTGTCTGTATACACAGTTTCGGTCTCCTCCACCCAGACGGCCAGCTTACATTGATTGTTTCTTTCGTTTTCTGCTCGACCGGCGTTATCATGTGTTCCATGCAGTTTTCCATTGTATGGGGTCTTCTGGTCGCGTTGTGGCGACAGTCGTCTTTTACCACTGATGATATTGACTCGGGTTGCAGGGTATTGTCTTATTGCGAACTACACACGACTCGGTCGAACGATGTTATTCCCTACTCCGACTTCATAAACCTTCCTTCAATCATCATTCCCTCAACACATATAATCTCCTTCACTTCGTCTCCCAAAACTAAAGATGGAATGCTTCTCTGTGCAGTCATAATTCTGACTTGGATGATTCGTTCAAAGATGCATGATCGCGTCCCTCACCACAACCCCTCATAAACTAGGATAAAACTCGACCATATCAACGATAGCCTGACGTGAATGAAAAAGACGACAATGCTTAAAGAGACAAAGCCGTGGTGTCGGATTAAAATCAATGCCTAGGACAGACATACGATTTACTGACACAACTAAGGACTCGAGCTAGTGTTCCATTCCGTTCTTCAGTTTGACAACCCTCACGGTGCCGTTTTCTTTCGGTTGTAACCCTGAGCCTTGCGACATTTTGTGATGACTTCTTGATTCATCACGTACTCCTCCGACAGTTTTTATGGCAGTACGTTGACAGCGGCTCCTAAATCAATTTAAAAACGCACTGGTTGTCCTTGAAGCAACAGTGTTGCAGAAACGCTTTTCTACTCTTATTGATGCTGCTATGGTGTAATCGATCGTCGGATGAACAGCCAACCTTTTGACGAAGGTAGGAAGGCTGGGTAAAATAGGCGACGTATGCACTTATTGGTGAAACGTACAGTCTCGTTAGGCTAATGGGCACCCAAGAAAATCTAGCTATGTGAGATAAGGAAGAATATTCCTGGAGCGAATGGAGCAGCGTTTTGTTCGCGCACGAATACATGTGTGTAAATGTAGACCAAAGTCGCCGACATGCGACAGATTCTAATTTTTCTAAGTACAAGCTTAGAATGCAGTTTTCGCATGTTTTATACATTATACGCGAACCTTAAAAGGAAGTTTCCATGTAAGCCATACTTCCATCGCAATAGATCGTTGTCAATCGAAACTCAGATTGGTGTATGGGACGGCATGTTGCTTGCAGGAAACTTTGTTAGTGAGACTGTCAAATGGTAGATTTCAAATTACATTGCTAGCTAACTTTTGCTATCAACGTGAAGTGATTAGCGCAGAGCTCATAGGGTGGTTAGCGCCTGCTTACTGCAGTGCTTTATCTACGTTGTGACGCGATTGCAACATCATTTCAAGTAGTGCGATGTATTTCAGTTCTCATGCAGAATGTACAATTTCGCAGTCGGTCCACTCCTATACGAGTGAGTGTGCCTGTCAAAGCCAGCGGTAAACAACACCGCGAATTCAGTGAACCAAGATCCCTAGGTCCGAATCACTAGTCGAACGCAGCCCATATGGTTGGCGGCATCCGGTTTCGGATTTGCCTGTCACCGTGGCCAGCCACAGGACGCCTGCGCCTACAGAGGAACCATGGGTGGCTTGCGCTGCACCACCAACAGCTCCAACCACACACTCCATATCCAGTGTAAATTCGAAGAAATAAGACCGGGAGGCATGTGGATGGGAGCTTCGTTTCACCAACGGAGCCGGCCCACACTCCTTCACAGGTAAACACAAGCACAGTGTGTTTGGGGAATCAAGCGCACGCAAGGCGGTGGCTGGACCGTAGTCCACTCCACACTGACTGCATGGAACCGCTCTTCGAGCCTAACACGGTCACAATAACCGTGTACCCCGTCCTCTCCAGCAACGACCAACTGTCTCCTGGAGCCAGTATGAACGAGGTAGGGGGTAATAGACAGGCAGGCACATTATCAACATGCACATCAAGCGCATCCACACCTGGGATATCAAGCAACAGTCAATCACTTGAAACGACAAGATGAAATAAAATACATCTAACAATGCATACAGATACGTTGTCATAAATCTTCGCTAAATTAGCATATGAAGTAATCTGGTTAGCAATGAATCCGCGATAAGGAAAAAATGTCCACAAGTTACTTAAAATGATAGGAACGCAACAGTTACCGAAGGTAAGCGAAATTGGCGCAAGCAATGTGGGCAGTTAATAAAAGATTATTCAGCTAGGCAGAACAAACCAAATAAAGTGGAATGAACTATATACAGCTTAGAGAGACCTAGTTTAAGTGTAAGTTGGTTGAGAATAACTATTTATTTATGTAAAAGCCTCCAACCACTAGGTACAGGAAAAGAAGTATGGGTGCGGCCATTACCGGAATCCGGTGGATGCTGGCGGAAAGGAGTGATCGAAGGCCGGAAGGGAGAGAGGAGCTATGAAGTCAAGGTTGGGGGCAATCTCATTCGACGGAATCGGGTGCAACTGAGAAGAGTGCGTTAGAAGTG